GGGGCAATATGCTGACTCTCTGTAAACCGCTTAGAGAGGGCTGAAAGCCCTATGAAGCGGTATATAAGTCTACTGCTATTGCTATCTACTGCTATCTCCCTCTCTCCCTCCCTCCCTCCCTCCCTCTCTCTCGCCAGCTTGAGTTATTTATAAAATAATAAAGGTGGGATATAAATAAAACCAATAACAACTTGAAAGAAGAGCCAGAACACTGATCTCATACATTTCTGCTTCGCTCTTTCTCTGTTCTTCTTCTGCTGTTTTTCCCCTCTTGGCTATGTACAGAGAACTCTAGACATATAATTCTAAAAAAGAGCATTTTACATGCAGATAACATTACACTTTGTTGCTTCTGTGATATCCTCTTTTGCATGTTGCATTCTCTCTGGTTTCAGATTTTGCATTACATTCGATCGACCAACTGCTGTCATAGATAAAACAGGACGTGGGATGGCACAGAAGGTTTTACTTGTATCTAAATGTTTGTAAGCAGAACTGCCTTCAGAGTTTGCTCTCCAAGGTGGCCAAGTCTGCAAGAGATTGATTGGGGCACTTGGACAAGTGAAATGTGAAAAGTGGGTTCAACATCTACAGTCACCCATACTGCAAAGCACTCATAGGTCAGGTTAAAACTTGGATAAGGTGTCTGATTTTTAAACCAAAGGCACTAATTTAACTTTAAAAAAAGGCATAGAGTTTATTTCCAGAGATGGTCTGAGCTAGTTGCTGGCTAATCAGAACATTGCTTGCTTTGCTGTAAAACATTCTTATTGATTCTAATCAAGCTCATAGAAATTTAGCAAGAGATGTATGTTAATATATGGAAACAATCTATAAATGTTTTTATACTTGACTTACAATTTAACGTCTATTTTCTCAGGGTAATGAATGTGTATTCTGAACCTCGTCTTGTTTGATATCCATGACCTAATGTATTAATTTGTTTTCTCATGTGCACACACATGTGCTTACTCCGTTAAGAAGATGTTCTATCCATAATTAACTTTAAGTTCGACTTCAAACAACCTTACCACAAAGAGGTTGAAGTTAATTAAAGTTAGGATTACAATATTTTATTTTCTGAAAAAGAGTTTCTTAGAAGGGAGAGTTAGTTTAACTTAAAATTCTTTAAGGACTTTAATTAGCTGATGATTTATGGATTTATTGATTAATTGGAGTCCAATATAGGGGGAAGGGAAATATGCTATTCAATTTAGAAGGGGGAAAATAGTTTAAATATATCTGTGTTGCTGAAGTCACTTCTTTAACTATTTTTTTCTTCTTCCTCTTCTTCACTTTTTATTGTTTTCAATACTATATAGCTTTCTGACTTTTTCTATATTGTTTCATATTTGAATTTTTAAAATAAAATAGAATTATAGGAAAAATTATAAGGGGGGGGGAAGGAAAAGGGTGGCTTACAGAATGATGAGTAACACAAATGCGCAATTAGTTTTGCTCCTCTTTGACAGTAAAAATGCAAAACTCATTAAACTCATTAAACCAGTTGCCCAGAGATTATTGGTTTTGAACCAGAGTTTCAAAATCAAACATTTTTCCCGCTGAAATCTGTGTTGGCTACATAAAAGTACAAGTTTCACTACCTAATGTTTGTTGTGTGAAATCACAAAACTACTGAAATCATACATTGCTGCATGAAATTATAGGTCTTTGCTATTATATCAATGTTTGCAGCTTGTATCAAAACACCGTGCCATTTAGCAATTTAAATGTTTTTTTTCCCCCTGAAGAAAAATTCTCTCTCAAAAGAAAGCCAACAAAAACAAAGCAGCCAAAGCAATGGGTAGCACTTGTTGATGCCTCATGAGTAGCAATACTGTACCTCTGTTTATATAATTGCTAGCCACTCCCTCCTCCCTTTATGCACCAGTCAGAAAGCAAAAGGGATGATACACTTTCCCTGAAACTATAGCTAGAAACTATAGCTAGGCATCACTGTTTTCTCTTGCAGACATATTGTATCCTCCAGCCTTAGACATTTCAATATATTTTTAATTCCCTCATGGATGAATCTTGGCTAGGAAAAATAAAGTATCTGCAAACTCTGGACATACAGTATGGTAGCCTTAGTCATATTTACTAAAAATCTCCTTATTATTACTATTTTTAGCCATCGTTGTAGCAATTTGATCCTTCCTTTTGCCATTCATATTGTTGGGATGACAAAATTATCTAAAACAAATGGATACTTCTTTCAATTGATTAGGACCATCCAATGCTGTCAGCCATTAGAGAAAAAAAAATCTAATCAATTTTGGTTCACACACAGACACAGTTTGAAACATTCAAAATGTGTCCTTTAGTTTACTTTGAACCTCTGCCTCCAGTTGCACCATGTGTTAATTGTTTCTATACAGTCTCACATTTGAAAACTTAATTTATTTCCAAATGTCCGCATAATGGATTATTTACAGCTTCAACTATGAAGACAATGCTTAATTACCCTTATTTGACTTGGATTCTATAGGACTCTAATAGCAAATTTCCACAGTGATCTAGGGATAGAGCATGTAATTTTAATGAATTGTGATGTTGGTTGGCAAGCATTGTATGACAAATTTACTGTGTTTGCAAAATGGCATGCCCTTAATTGTTCACCCTATAACTGAAAAAAATACCCACCCTCCAATATTCTCTTTTTTTTCAAGTTGCAGTGGAAGATATTGGTAGACCAAAAATCGATTTTCATATATCTAGTAAATGGCAAGGATTAAACTAGGCTGGTGAAGGGAACCATGCAACCTGATTCTAACCAAGCATCCTTAAGCCTTAGTCTTAATATATAGTAAGAGTGTGTGCAAAATATTTGTACAAATCAGTGTGAATCAAAGGTGTATGATTCTATGTCACAAGTGTATCATACTTTTTTGGGGTAGCACACTCATAAAATAGTTTTCCATAAAATAAAGATTTAATTTAAAAATAACATTGCATTGGTTAAATAGTTATATGACTACTCCCTAAGTACTAATTGATTTCCCTTTGGGTCCCTTTTAGCACATGAGAAAAGAATAATGAATCTAGAAAGGAATCCAGATTTAGTAGGGAATGTATTAATTCTAATTCAATCTACAATGGAATAGATTAATTTGTACCATTTGAATTGCTCTTTCTGTGCAGTCCAGTTTCCAATGAACCCACACAAAACATAGGGAAAGTGATAGTCTATCTTTAATGAATATATAAATATATACAGATATTTCATAAAAATTATACAGGGATCATAAAGCATCTCCAGGAATATTCTCTGCTGTCAAAGAATGATCTAGCACTGTACAACGTATGTAAGAAGCACCACTTTCCATTTAAAAATTTAAAAACACTGTCACTATGGTTTCAAAAATCCTTCAAAAAAAAACTTTTTAGAACATGTTAAATTTCATCCCCTATATATTTTTTTCTTTATAACATTTGAGGTAACTAATACAATGGGCCTTGGATAACTATCAGTGTTTTTTCTTAAGATTCTATCAGTTTGGGGGCATTATACATTAAGCACATGTTTTTTTGATTTATATGAATTTATTGGATTGAGCATAACATGTAAAACTTGAGTAAGAGAACTAGTTCAAAAGTTCTCTTGTGGGCTATTGGATTGAATTTTTTGATCATGGTACAAATCATGGTCTTTTAATACATGAAAAACATCCAGGTTCCCACTTTGTAGCAGAACCACTTGGAGGGATTTCAGGAGAAGACTGCAATTCTGCAGATTTAGCACTTTCTTCACCTTGCCAAAACAATTGACCAGAATCATCCTTTCCTCTTGTTTTTAGTTCAATGTGTTCAATAACCAAAATGTCTTCTCTTTGGGGCTGAAGCATCTCAATGACAATAATCTCCTCTCCTTTGTGATGGATCACTTTCGTACTAACTAAATCATGTTGTTGCAATGAGGTCTTATCTGTGCCGTTTTCTGCTTGTTCTTGGGATGGAAGTTGCAGAGTGTTTGATGTATGGTTATTACGAACAAGCTGGCCAACACTAGCTATACCTGGCCCTGGACCATTAGAAAGGCCATCAACAAAATCAACACTTCTTAAGTCCTCTTGCTTATGGGCTAGTTCTTCTTCCTCTTCTCCTTCTTCATCTTCTTCTTCCTCTTCTTCTTCGTCTTCCTCTTCCTCTTCTTCTTCATCATCATCCTCCCCCTGCACTTCAGCTATATTGATCTCTGTTCTCTCCTTACAGCCTGGGATGGATTTGCCTAGTATTGGAACCCTTTCTTCTAATTGATTCAGAACATATTTGTTTGATGGACAGTGTCCATTGTGGGTACCTAAATGTCCATCAGCTTGGACAAATGCATCCATATTGTCTTCATTTCTTACAAGTTCCCCATCAGAAGATCCAAAAGGAAGAAAAAAATCATCCAGAATATGTTCTAAACTGGAACTAGTTGATTCCTGGACTTCATCATCCCAAGTTTCTTCTTCATCGCTTGACAATGTTTCTCCAACTTCCCCATCATTCTCATTGGAGTCTTCTGTTTCTCCTTCCTCCTCCTCATCTTCTGAAGAAGAGGTAGTAAAAGATGAATAGGACTGAAACCTATCATCATGCATAGGGAAAGGAACATCATAACTGGCTCGCCAGTCATAAGCCCTAATGTTGAAAGGAGAGCGAGCAAAATTAATGAATTCATGTAAGAAGTGATTGGTGTAATGGAGTAAGTGAGGCTGAATCACATCAGCAAATGCCTGGCTGTCCAGATCATAAATAGTTATGTTATTCAGAATGATGTGCTGTACGTTATTGACTAATGAGGAATGTGTTCCACATAGTACTCGCAGCTCACGCTTCAACCAAGGCACTAACCGGTTGAGCCGGACAGGATTCCTGTGAAAAAAATCTGCTGATATGTCTCTATAAAATCCTCCACTTTGGACATTTCTGACCCGAACTCCTAACTGATATAGAGCTCTTCTGAACTGCAGTGAAGCCTGTTCTCGAATTTGTCCGATGGATATTCCTCCAGGATGAGTTGACCTCCTTATTCCAAGTTGTCTCATCAGCTCATCAAGTGTTCTTATCCTATCTTGTGATTGGGGACTTGAATATCCTCCATATAAGATCCCATTATCGGGTAGTATTTCAGATCTTTGATTAGTTGCTGACCTCTCCCCACACATGCTATAGGATGCATTTTCAAAAGGAACAATGTATTCCTCAAAGTCTGTGTCAGATCTTATGGTATGAAAGAAAGAATGGAAACGTTGCTTGCAGAGTGGGCACTCTGCCTTCCTGTCTGACCACTCTAGGATGCAGGCAAAACAAAATCTATGGAAACAAGGATTTAAGAAGGCCACATTCCGTATTCTTTCTAAGCAGATGGGACATCTTGAGTCTGAAGGTCCATCAGTTGACACGGTGGTGTTTTCATTTCCTGCCCCAGTCAGGGATAAAAAGCTACTGTCAGAATGAAGTTCTTCATTTGATGATGCCATAATCTGATGAAGGAGAAGACACAATCAATATAAAGACTGGAACATAAAAACAGTATAATATGATAAATGTGACATGTATGCATGGATATACATATATGAATTGGGCTATCAGAATACATATTTTCCCCAATAGCATTGCTAAGAGTTTTCTCACTTTTTCAGAAAAAGGCAGCCACTCTACAAAAAAAAGAGAGCTTTGTTTGTTTATTTACAATAGCTTATTTATTTTGTGGTAGCTATCTTTTCTTCTTTACAATGCCATGAAGTGACATTGTTAGTCTGGAATTAACTCTTTGTGGCCAATACAAAATGGTGGACAAATTGCCAGGCAGAGGCTGCTGTCATTTATAAAACAAAACAAACAAACAAATAAATAAATCTTGAAAGATGTGAATAAAGGAATGCTACCGTTATAGACCAAAAAATAAAGAGCTTTTTCTCCCATTTATAAAAAGTCTCTTCATACTGACCTATGTTTCTCTGTCACAAATAGAAAGAAGAATTGTGAGAAGCTACTTATTATCACCTGTCTAAGCATGCCCATGAGAGAAAATGTTTGTAGCATCACACAATATCTTTGGAAATTTGACTCTGTATCCCATAAAGGTAGATCCCAGTTTCATTATGTAAATGGACAGACCAGTAGAAAATGACTGCAGGGTAAACCCCTTGGGACCTAATTGTGCCAAGTTTCAGTGGCTGAGTTGATAGTATGATTTTCAGCTCAAAAATGTTAAAGTAAAGGATGGACTGGAAAGGCAAGGCTTCATTGCCCTCAAATAATCTCATTCCCATCCTTAACCCCTCCCTGTAAGTTTCCCAAACCTGCTTCAAAAAAAAGTAGGCCAACAATGTTATCATATTTCTAGCAGACGGCATGCCCAGGGTCTCACTATATCTGCAGAGAGACAAGTTTAGCCTCCAGGCTGAAAACATCCAAGTGACCCTGACTAGAACAACATGTAAATTGAAGAGAGGACAGCAAAATAAAAATAGATATTACAGCGCAAAACTATTTCAGTTTCCACAATCTTCCAGCTGCTTGGAAACTGGATGCAGCAGTCAAGGTGGCAGTTATAGAATAATCTAGAACAGAAAATTCCAAAGTATGCTATTTGTTGTAGAGAAAGTGATGTCAGATATGTTCCTCCAGGTGGAGAGCTTGTGGTGTTAAGTCTCTCACTGCATCCATAGCTATCCATAGTAACCAGCATTGCTAAATTGATAATAAGCTCATGGCTGGAACCTTACAATGTTGACATGGTAGAACTCATTTACATCCCGAATCCCAGAACTGTGCACTGCAATATGTTGCTGTAAAACTGGGATCTGTGATATATGGTCCCAAGGCTACCTGTGTCCCTCCCCCACCCCATATTTTGCTTATTGAGCTAGGAGCCAATTAAAGTATTGCTGTAAAATTGTAGACCTCAGAAACCATTGAAATAGTGATTTGAAAGTGTAATTTTTCACATGACAGGAAGGTGAAGTTATTAAATACAGAGGGGGTAATTACATAAACTGTATTTAACTAATTTAATTTTAATGGCATTGAAATTCAATTAAGTTTCATTTTCCTCCTGGCTCTCTGATTTCTTTATTCTGTCCTTATGCAGTATTAGGAGTGCACTACCAAGGTGCTTTTTGAACGTAACTTCAGCTCAGGAAAGGTTGCATGTTCCTCTCCTAAAGGAAAGTGATATTCACTTAACAAGTGTAATAGCTATTTTGGTGTTTATTTGAAGTAAAACTTTTAATTAAGAGATCATTAGTGTCTTTAATATATAATAGATTATTTTTTCAATGAACATTTAAGTCCCCCCAAAAATTATTCTGATCTCTAGAATTACATTTGGCCTAGATATAATTTTAGAAGGCATCTGGATGCTTAAATAGAATAGAAATCTCATTTTCTGCATGTATGTTAATTATTATGTGTTTCTCAAGCCTGTTTCATTTAACATTTACCACACTGTTCATGCTTTTGGTGTGCTACCCTATTGGAATCTTCTATGTCTAGAACCGTGATGGCGAACCTATGGCACAGGAGCCGTCGCCCCAGCTCAGCTCTGCCACGCATGCATGTGTGCCTCCTGCTAGCCAGCTGGTCTTCATATCTCTGATGCACATGCACAGCAGCAGGGCACATGCGGGGGGTGCGTGGATGAATGGGAACTGGGCACATGTGGGGGTTCATGTCCATGCACAAGACACACACTCATACACAGGGGTTTGGTGCGCATGCATGGGAGGCCACACACACATTGCATTTTGGGGGTTCAGGTGTGTGCACACACTTTGGTCCTGAAAAGGTTAGGCATCACTGGTCTACAAAGAGAAGAAAAAACTCCTGGACATCATTAATTATCGGTGGGGGGGAGAGATTGTATGCATTTTGCAACACAAACTACAACCAAGTTCACAAAAAAGCAGGCAGTCCTGTAAATAATACAGTGCCCTCCAATCTCTCCATTGGATAATATTCTTTAGAGTAGGACTTTCAAGCAGAGATCAAAAGGCAACAGTTCATAGATCTCTCCACTCCCATGGAAGTGGATGATGCTACCCCCTAATCTGAACACACTGCTGCAATCTGCTCAGCAGCTGGACAGTTCACACAGGTATAGTGTGAATACAAATGTGATAAAGAAAAAAGACATGTGACATTTTAACCAGACAGCACCTGCTGACAGCGCAAAAGTATCCTTTCTATTCTTGAGCTGTTGTCCAGAGTTAACACCAAGTGGACTCTTTTAAAAGACATTTTTGTAAAGCTTTTTGGAAACCAATCAAATGGCAACATGGCTAAAGCACCAATCTCCTGTACAAAGCACGTCCTAGCAGGGAAGTTATAGGCATCTTTATCCCTACATCAAGAAAGAGAGTGGCGCCCAAAGAGAAACTCACTTGTGTGGGAAAATGTGAGAAACTGGTGCCCAGTGGTCATTTAACTAAGAAGGCATTTAAATCACACATTTTACTTACAGCCAGTGGTGAGATTCAGCCAGTTCGCACCACTTTGGGAGAACCGTTAGTTAACTTACTGAGCAGTTTGGTGAACTGGTTGTTGGGAAAAATAATTAGGGCAGGGAACCGGTTGTTAAATTATTTGAATCCCACCACTGCTTACAATCTAAACAAACCACCCTACAAATTTTAAATAGCAGAGCAAACAGAGGACAATAGGGATTAAAAAACAATCATTTTAGCCAATTATCGTACTACCCTATGAGAAGCAACTAATTGTTTTACAAAAGGCCAAATGGCTTCCAGCGGAAAAATTTAGCAAATTTTATTTACCCATTCAGGCAATTCACAGTCGCCAGTATGTGGTTTAAAACAGTGACGTGCAGTGAGGTTTATGGCTGGTGAGGCACTGACACAGTGGTGGGTTTCAAATTTTTTTAGACTTGTGGACTTCAACTCCCAGAATTCCACAGCCAGGCATGCTCAGTTCCGATTTAAAGAGACAGCATTTGTTTTTCTCCTTTGCGAAGTTTCCTTCTTTCTTTTTCTTCCCCTTCCCCTCCTCCCTCCCTCCCCCCTCTCAAACAAACACACACACACAAAAGTTGGATTGGACTATCTCTCCTACCCCCTTCCCTCTCTCACTCAAACAAACTCTCTCTCAAACAAGCGCGTGCGTGCACACGCACACACACACACACACAGACAGACAGGCAAAGTTGGATTGGAGGGAGTCAGGGAGACCACAGGAGGAGGCAGGAAGCCGGTAAAAGAGCCATACTGGAGCACACACACTTTCCCCCAGCCCCAGAAGGATCCAGCCCAGCTTCACTGATTACAGGTTTGAAAAGACAACGTGGCTCTGCCTGCAATCAAACTACACTTGGGGAGCAGAGCACTTCCCTCCAGCCTTTGTCCAAAGCCCTGCACCAGGAGGATGAAGTTTGAATTCCTCCCCCTCCCTCTGACCTACATGTACCTTTTCCAGCTCTTTCAGAGAGGATTTCAACTCTGCTCTTGTCTGTCATCATGAAAAGAAAAAAAATGTAAAAGGAAAAAGGCGAGAGCTGAGGTCAGGCTGAGCTAGTTGCTGCCTCAC